CTCGCGGATGTGGTTGTCAACTGGGGACACAAAACGATAGGCTGGTGGCTTCACTATCAAGGGGGCTGACTCCCAGAAGGACACCATATTACCTGGGTGACCCCTGAATCCCCCATTTGGATCTTGGGGGTAAAGATGACGGCGACAGGCAAGCCCCCCGAAAATGACGACTGGGTATCCGCCCCGGCAGGCGCCAAACTTTTCCAATTGAATCACCAACACACCTCACTCTTCGACCGAACCCTAGTAATGAATAACGTTGTCTTGGCCACCCTTTGGTATAAGTCGGTACTTTGGTCTCTAAGCCTAGGGGCCCTAAAGACCCTGGAAAGGAAGGTGGCAACCTATCTTTGGAGAGGGAACAGTGAAAATCCCCATGTCATCAGCCAGGTGGCGTGGGACTCAGTCACCCTACCCAAGGCGAGTGGTGGCCTTGGTATTTTAGACCCTCTCACCCAATCCCAAGCTGTCAGTCTACAATGGGTTGTGCGCCTGATTTTTTAGCACCCATCAGTATGGAGGCCGCTGGCATTGGCACAAATCGCTCGTCTGGCCCCTGAGGCCCCCCAGTTCGTCCACCCTCTGCGATGGCTAGAGGACCGCTATTGGAAAGTGTCGCGGCGGCCACGGGGAGGGGAAGGGAGGAAGGACGACTTCTGGCCCCGTATGCTAAAAATCTGGCTGAGACTTCTGCCCCCGAATCGTCCACCACCGGACAAGTGAGAGGAGGTGGCTAGACAACCCCTCTTTGGAAACACGTGGATCACCAACGAACGAAGCCAAATTTTTTACAGTACAGACACCCCATGGAAAGGTTGGGTAAAACGTGGAGTGACTAGAGTGGGTGATCTGTGGGACGAGGAGAGGAAGGATTGGAAAAACCTGTAGAAACTGATGGCGGAACTGAGATACTGCCACAATGTAGAAGGGGCCTTCGAGGAAATAACGGAAGCCCTTTCGATAGGATGGTGGAGCATTCTAAGTAGAGGCCAAGTGTTAAAAGAGGGAGACTGGGTGGCTAAGGAAGGGAGGGTTGATAAGGTGGGCCTGGTTCACCTAGATCGCCCGGACGAAGCATTCAATTTTGCTCGAGTGGTACAGTGTAAAGTGGAACGGAGGTCTTGAAGGGAGTCGGGATCCCCTTCAATGGACCCTGAAGAAGGAACTACATCACATCAGGGTTACGGAAGAAGGTGGTAACCGACGGACTCTCCTTCCTGAGCTAGCTTTAACCTTCCTACCAATCGACCCACTGGAGTGGATCTGGTACCCTGAGTCACAACACCACCCGCGCCAACTGGAACCCAAAACATTGTCGAATCTCTCGGTGAAGGTGACATACCGAATGCTCAAAACTAAGCACTGCCTAAATGAAACAGTGATTGATAGATGGCAGAGGCATCTCAATGTAGAGAGACAACTTCTCATACCGATTCATTGGTTTCCCGACATAAAGTGTAAACCGGCGAAAATCACGTCCTTATAATGGCAGATTTTACACCGGTGTTTACCTACAAACAACTGGCTGGTTGACCGTTTCGCGTCTTGAACAACAAGGCCGTGCGCTCCCGTGGTGCTCTCGTTGCCTCCTCGTTTTTTCGGCTAGAAAGAGAGCAGAGACAATCGAACATATCTTTCTGCAATGTCCTACCGCAACCTTAACCTGGAGGTGGTGGGATAGGGTGTGGCAGCAAATGGTCCAGGGCATCCGTGGCCGTGGGATTGGCGGACCATCCTGATAAGTCACTACCCTCCCTTCCAAGATAATACTTTTGTGTCCAGTATGTTCCACCTGTCCCGAAGAACTATTCTCTGGGTCTTGTGGTGGCAACGCTGTGTCCTAACCTTAGACCACGTCCGAGTAGAAGGAGAAGAAAAGGTGGAACTGTTCAAAACGCACTTCCAATTGGAAATCTCACACAGGTGTCATTCAACCAAGCAGGTACTCGATTCGCTTCATAGACCCAAGGACATCCGAGAACAGTTACTTCAGTTCTCCAAGGACTAGTTGGGTGGGGTCCGGGAAGGATGGATAGCGGAAGTATTTTGGACAGGGGACTGGGAAGGTGGAGAAGAAAGGGAGGATACATGAGTCAAGGATGTCCCACGGGACTACCACCTGAGATTCAAGGAGTGGGTGTCGATCGATCCAAGCATCCCCATGAGATGTACAGACTCAGAGGAGATCCCTGATCCCTTCCCTCCCCACCCGGGTTCCCTGGATATGTGCCTGTAAACCTCCACCCATCCAAACCGTCATTTTCCTTGCGTCCCAACTACAGCCTTCTGCGGTGTCAAAGCCGCCTATTTTCGTTTTTGCTTTTTTCATCCCCATCTGGCTACCGGCAGTATGACACGGAGAGAGCAGGTGGAATTCTTCGCAAAAAAAGTTTGAGAGACTGTAGGGCATCGAGAGGAGGTCCCTCTGTTGAGGGGTGGGTTTCGAAGTATGGGCAGAGAGACGGGACGAGGTCGACAACGACTGCGGAATGAGATAAGGACAGGAACAGAAAAGAGACGAGGGCTTTTGTAGGGCGGGGGGGACCAGTACGTAGTAGTGGAAAGTTGGCGCCGAATTCAGGGTGAAGAGGTCCCCCCTGCTCAGTGAATCCCCTAAACTCCAGGGTAATACGGGAAAGATCCTCCTACAAGTTTTTCTGATGTAATCCAATGGATGCCAGTGTAAAAAGGAGAGAGTCCAACATTCTGATACAGCAGAGAAGGATGACAGTTGGTTACACCCGGCAGATGGCTGCATGGCTGCATGATTGCAAGGGGACCGTTCGAGGAAGGGCTGGGTGACGGGAGGACCCACTGGTGCCCCCCAGTGGCTCCTCTCGGACCCTGACCAAATGAAGAGATATAGAAGGGAAAGATGATCAGCTGGATTCCTGCTACTTGCCTGCCTATGGCGTCTTCAGATTGGGGACGACTGGTTTGGTTCTGGAGCCCAGAGCAGTCATTACTGGCAGGTTTTCTCCGGTTGTTGGTCTAAAAAATCACTCTCCCAAGTTTTTTCCAAATGTCCTGCTCAGTCAATCCCCTGTATCCCAGGGTAATCAATGCTGGCAGGATTGTTTCGCTGAGGTTCTCAGAGGTTCCCTGATTACATTTTGTATATGGGACGCTGGACCCATTTCCCAGCAGGTGATGTTCCCCACCAATAGATGGAGTCTCTCCCTAGGTGGTAGTGGTGTCTGCCCTTATCAACACCACTAGCACCGGCGGGGGTGATTAAAAAAAAAAAAAAAAAAAAAGGTTGAACCCTCGACAATCTGTGGGATATCCGTATTTGATGGTTTGGGTCATTAACCCTTCGACCATTGTTGAAGGCAGACTATCCCCAAGTGGAACATACCAGCGGGCAGCAACCCTGTAGAGCACCAGGCAACACAATAGATGCAACACGGTTGTGCAATGCCAAAAATGACTGCAAGGAACGACATGGCACGCGGACATTCAGTGCGGCAACCATGTCGTGAAACATAAGACAATACAAACAAGGCAACCACATTGCAAGGGACAACAGGGCGAGCAGACCAGCAGCTCGGCAACTGTGGAGCGAAGCACATGGCATCAGCAACAAGGCAACAATCCAACAAGGCCCACAACCAGTAAACACGAAAGGCACGACCAGGAGAAGGGCAGCAAGGCAGTGGGAGCAGTGAAGTGCAATGCGACAACAACCACATGGCCATACCATATAGCGAACACATCAACCTGCAGAGAACCACATGCGAAGCAGGACAGGCAGAAGGGCAGCTGCGGAGGGCAGACGAGGCCTGGAGGCCGTCTATACATCCAACACCCAGCAAAGCAGCACATGACCTACTCACATTACTATTGAACCCCGCAAAATGTTGGCTCTCATTTCCCACTAAGTCAGGGAGACACTCCGACGAGCATTTGCCATCACCCACAAACAATAGAGACATCCCGAACCGAGTGCCCCCCCTAAGAGTGCAGTTGGCACTCCAAATGAGGAACCACCGAGTGTTTGGCACTATTAAGGGTGCTCAATTGGGCACACATAAAAATCCTTAGAAAAGATAAGAGGGAGGATAGACAACAAGAGGGAAAAAGACAAACATAAAACTGATTGTGTGTGTGTGTGTGTGTGTGTGTGTGTGTGTGTGCTGTCTCTTATACACATCTAGATGTGTATAAGAGACCCCCCGAATACATCGGATGGTCTTTATAGCTCTAT